GCTTATCATTCAGTCTCTGACACAGAATTTTCATGACAAACCTAACAACAAGTAGTTTTCAAAACAGTTTAAAACTAGCGATGTAAAAGATAGAAATATTTTTATTTTGTTACAAGTATCCAACAAATTACAACAAAGTTTAAAAGTAGCGTTGGCTTAAAGAAATGTCAATAAATGCAGAATCACGGATGAATATCATTTTAATCAATGAATGCTCTTTTTAGCGATGTCGATGACCAAATACTGCAGAGCGTAGTACACAAATAAATCTGACTGTGAGTAGTGAAATATATACATGGCGGACTGTTTTGGAGAGAAGATTTTCGCTAATCTATTTACATCAATGTTAAACAACAGGTTTATTGTAAACGAAATACCGGTACCTCAAAATTAATAAATATTACAAACCCGAAATGGAAATTCTAAATTTAGTATTATATGATTTTATTCAGGCTTTCTTTGTATGACCTCTCCATGGTGCAGGGGTAACGCGCTTGTTAAGGGTGTGAGAGGTCTGGGGTTCAAATCCCAGTCAAGGCACCTATTTTTTAAGTGTCTTTTTATACCCCCACACAACGAAGTTGTAATGGGGTTTAGTGGAATCAGCTTGGCAGGCCGTACAGACGTCCGGACGTGTCCCCGTCCATCCGTCGGTTTTTCTTTGTCCGCCCAATAACTTGAGATTCCTTTGGCCCACAGTCTTCATATTTGGCATGGAGGTTAGTCATGATTAGTAGATGACCCCTATTGATTTTGGGGTCACTGAGTCAAAGGTCAAGGTCACAGGGGCCTTGACTTTAAAAAGCTTGTCCACCAAGTAACTTGAGATTCCTTTGACCCACAGTCTTCATATTTAGCTTGGAGGTTATTCATGATTAGCAGATGACTCCTATTGATTTTGAGGTCACTGGGTCAAAGGTCAAGGTCACAGGGTCCTTGACTAAAAAAGGCTTGTCCGCCCAATAACTTGAGATTCCTTTGACCCACAGTCTTCATATTTGGCATGGAGGTTAGTTGTGATTAGTAGATGACCCCTATTGATTTTGAGGTCACTGGGTCAAAGTTCAAGGTCACAGGGACCTTGACTTAAAAAAAGCTTCTGACAAAGTGGTATGTGGGGGTATTCACGCCATGACAATGGCAGTTCTAGTTAAGGAAGTAGCCACGATATGCAAGGATAAAGTGTGGCTGTCATAAAAAATGAACATAAATGACTTTTTGATTCAATTTTAGTCATGCAAAATTTCGTATGTATCAAACTTGAACTGTTATAGTAAAAAATCTAAACGCAGTCGCTGCATCTCAGTGCCCTGTAAGATGAATTATAGTATATTACAATAATTTTACAGGAAAATACATACAGATATACAGTACGATTTAGATTGCAAAGATCAGAAAATACCACAGAGCTTGCAGCCCTTTCATTTTAGCTGTAACTTTGCTATAATTGAAAGGATTGACTTCATATTATAACAGAAAATTCTTAAGGACAAGACCTTCATGTTTATCAAACTCAAATTGACTTTGGCTCTTTAATGACCTTGATAAAGAAGAACGGAAATGAAACGAAAAGCGTAGGAAGAATTCTAATTTTAAAACAGATGCTGATGATGACACAATGTAGCCAACCTACTACAACGGGAAACAATTTAGAGATGTTTAACCTAAGAAAAGAGGTACAACACCACCAAATAAAATGGTAAACATATGTTATTTTTTTCTGAATCAAATCGTTATTATTTCATGCTTTTAGATTATTAACACATCTCTTGAGTAAATAAATAACATTTTGAAAAAGAAGGAATTGCTGAATGATGATGTTTTGTTTCATTCAATACACTTAGAATTGTCAACATTGAACTATTTGCATAGTATTCGGATAGTCATCACTATCCGACTAAATAATTTGTTTTATTGGAATACATTGAATAAGTATTTTATTCAAATTAAATGATTCTCAGAACTTAATTCCAATGTTATTATTTCCTAACAGAAATAATTTAAAATTAAATTTTGTTATCGGTTAAAAATATTAAAGAAAATCATGAATATTCTTCATCAAGTTTTACACTGTCAAAAGCAAACTCAGGACTGTACAATTCATTCTGCTGCTATTGAGATGAGATGTAAAAGAAGTAAATTTTCTAATGGCAACACCATTTATATAGGACTAGCAGAATCTCTGTGCAATCACACGAGAATGTAAGATCATTTTCTCTACAAATGTTCTTTTTTAGCTCGACTATTCGATAAGAATAAGTAGAGCTATTGCAGTCACCCGAGCGTCGGCGTCGGCGTAACCACTTATGTTAAAGTTTTTGTAATAGTTCAAATATTTTCAAAGTCCATTGACATATGGCTTTGAAACTTTGCCACACTTGTTCACCATCATGACCCCAACCTGTAGACAGGAGGAGGTAACTCTATCAAGTATTTTGACAGAATTATGCCCCTTTTTCGACTTAGAATTTACGTTAAAGTTTTTGTAATAGTTCAAATATTTTCAAAGTCCATTGACATATGGCTTTGAAACTTTGCACACTTGTTCACCATCATGACCCCAACCTGTAGACAGGAGGAGGTAACTCTATCAAGCATTTTGACAGAATTATGCCCCTTTTTCGACTTAGAATTTACGTTAAAGTTTTTGTAAAAGTTCAAATATTTTCAAAGTCCATTGACATATGGCTTTGAAACTTTGCACACTTGTTCAACATCATGACCCCAACCTGTAGACAGCAGGAGGTAACTCTATTAAGCATTTTGACAGAATTATGCCCCTTTTTCGACTTAGAATTTACGTTAAAGTTTTTGTAATAGTTCAAATATTTTCAAAGTCCATTGACATATGGCTTTGAAACTTTGCACACTTGTTCAACATCATGGCCCCAACCTGTAAACAGGAGGAGGTAACTCTATCAAGCATTTTGACAGAATTATGCCCCTTTTTCGACTTAGAATTTACGTTAAAGTTTTTGTAATAGTTCAAATATTTTCAAAGTCCATTGACATATGGCTTTGAATCTTTGCACACTTGTTCACCATCATGACCCCAACCTGTAAACAGGAGGAGGTAACTGTATCAGGCATTTTTTTTACTATCAAGCACTAAGAATAGTCGAGCATGCTGTCCTACCGACAGCTCTTGTTTTTTTTCTTCTTAGGCTACAAATATAAAAAGAAAGCCTCAGGATATTAATTTCACAGATATTGTTGTTGACATCAGTTTTCATCCAAAGAAAGATGTGATTGCTTCAGGTTCTATTGAAGGGGATGCATTTCTGTAAGTTGACAATCTTATCATATGGAATAAAAATGTGGTTGTTTTTATTAAATGGAATTTTCTTATGTTTACAAGTTAATTACTTTCTGATTCAAGTTTCTGGGCAAAAGCTATTTTGATGTTTTATCTATGAATTTCAAGAGGGTGGCAGTTGTACCACCTTTAAATTTGATAGAGGGTTGTTATCCTTCCTGTTTATTAGACTTGAGGCTTTTTGTCTATGAAGTCTTTTTAAGATGGATTGGCTTTTGTATGAAAGGGGGGCAGAGGCATGATTGTGTCTGTTTCCCATTTGCACGCTTGCTTGGATTCATCTTCCATGTGTTGAAAAAGACCATGACTGTGTCAAATTGGTAGCTCAAAGGTCAAGGTTATACTTAAAGATCTATGGTAAAAAATTAGCTCTGATAGTAGATTTTCAATGAATGACATTACTTTGAACATCTGCCAGGTTCATTGGTAAGACCTCTCAGGGCCGGCAAAATCAATTGTCCGAGTTGCCCGAGTCGTAAAATTGTAGGTCCGGGCAAGTAAAATTCTGCAGTTTACTTGTCCGTGGACAAGTAAATTTCGGCGGCTAATTAAGAGGAATTCTGAAGAAAAAATCTAGTTCTTTTCTAATAGATCTAAATCAGAAGGAAAATCACACATTTAATACGAAAACTAGCATGTCATTCATGAGGGCATGTTAGGGTGTTACTATTTTAAGTGTTTACATAAATAGCGACCAACCAGGCTTGGGGTTTTCCTTACGTCATGCAGTTACTGCATGCGCGCGGCAATTAACTAATTATTGAACGTATCAAGGTCACTATGTGGGGTACATGTTTGTTTTGGTTTATGACTGCCGACTAAGCTTCTGCAATAAAATATTTTCGGTAGCAACGGTGATTCTGCCATAAAATTGACTTGGAAGCTGTGGTCTTTTCAAGCGCATTTATTGTTTAGATAGCAGATACAGCATCAATCTTGCAACAATTGTCTGTGTTGTATGAAAATTAAATACATTGTATAGCTTTTCCAGGTCATTCGGGAATATGTACGCTCACATCGGCGATTTGACTGCTTGAATTTATGTGTTGACTGCTTGAATTTATGTGGACAAAGTCATTTTATAATTTATTTTATGTAAAGATTTCTTGTGAAAATGCCTTTGTTTTTGAATGTCTAATACTGGTGTTAATATATACATGTCAGTTTCATCGTCGCCTATGATAATGATGTCAAAATTTTCACAATTCATCTGCTGCAACCAAGCGTATATACGTATATGATATTACATTCTGTGGCAATCATAATTATATCGTTAAAAAAAGCCAGATGTCATCAATTTGACAAATCTAACTCAAGAGTACATATGATTTTTTAACAGGATTCAAATGAATATTATATAGATGAATGAATAAATAAGAAATGGTACCAGAGTGCAAAAAATATGAAGACAATACTTTAGAGCAATTTGGGTGCAAGGAAAACTGAAAAAGTGCTGGCAAAAGACTAATGCTCCTTCCAGTAAAATATACACAATTTGTCCATCACTGTCATTCTAATTTAATCTACTGTCGTTAATATTTTATAAATATATTATATTACAATCATAATATATTATATTATTAAACATATGGCACAGAATGTTTAATAAAATTGAAAGAAAGTTCATAATCATATTGCTCTTCTTTATTGACATTTGCAGTAAATATAAAATATAAATACGGACAAGTGAACCTTGAGTACGGACAAGTAAATTTCTTAGGTTACTTGTCCGTGGACAAGTACAATTTTCTGAGATTTTGCCGGCCCTGCCTCTATTCACACATTACATTTCTGTAAGTTAAATTCATAATGAGCGTCTATGGCAATGCTCTTATCCAATTTTTAAGCAGGTTAATAGTTAACAATTGACAAATCTAAATTTACATTAACTAGTCGGTCTAAAAGACATTTCTTTTCTTCTGAAAATTACATGTTGAAGGCCCATTTTGCCTCAGAAATGCCACCATTTTTATTTAACAAAAACTTTTTAATATTTTGGTATCTTGTTACAGTTTCAAAAAAAAAATACATTGTGCTCATTTACCATATAGGTGAACAATCTTTGCTCCTTTTGCTTTGTTGGCAGTAAGGATAATCATGTGAATTAGTATTTATAAGGAAGTCAAAATACTAGTTTGTTTACATTTGCTGCCTTTACAACACATTACTGCACATTAAGTTCTACTGTCTTCAGCTGTTAAGCATTTAACATGTTCTAAATCCATTGTTAAAACTTCACTAAACAAATGTATGACATTTCTAATAAAAATTTATAAAAATGGATTTTTCCTAATGTTTAAGACTGTTTTGTACAACAGTTTTAGGTTAGTTTTATGTGTATTTACTTCAAGGAGGTTTTCTATAAGGAAGTTTCTTAAAAATAACTGCCTTTTGTTTTCTTTGAATAAATTTCTTTATAATAATGTTGTCTTTATACATTTCATTTATCAACAGACATTCCTACTCCTCCACATCAGAGAATAGTGAATTGATGAAATTGTCACATCATAAAAAGTCATGCCGTGTGGTAAGATTTTCTCCCAGTGGTGATGAACTTCATACTGCATCTAAAGATAAATCGTTTAACTCTATAGACCTTAATACTGGAAGTGTAAAGAGAAAAGTGAAAAATGCCCATGAGTGAGTATGAATTTTACTGACATAAATGCTTTAGATTCTTGTTGTCCACATAAAAGGCTCTAATTTTATTCTGACTGAAGAACTCATTGTTTTTAATTTCCCATTAATTTTGTAATCAGAATGATAAGTCACCTACATGTATTTTTGTTCAAAGTCGTCTATAACTTTATTGTGCATTGTAAATTGTTTAAATAGAATGTTTTTGGTGGTTAGCTTCAAGCCTTGTCAGGCAATAATAAATTCATTATGTACAGTATTGTCCTACCCAGATAATTTGTCATGATTTTGATATATTTTGTGCAAAAAAGAACAGTTATATATAGGCCTGAGTGACAACAAGTGTAACATTTTCCGTTTCACATTTTTTGTGCCTCCTTAGTTACACAGCAGTGTCAAAAGGCACAATATTCTTATTTTAAAGGCCACCAAAAGTTTTTTTTTTTTAAATAAGACATAGTGTAAAAGGGTAGAGTATGATGTGAATGTTGTTGTGAATGCCATGTAGTTGCATTCGGTGAAAAATGAAAGAACCATCTTAACCCTCTGTTACAATTGGTTTTAATTTCAGGTCCCCAATATACAGTATGTTAGTAACAGGTGAAAACTTTCTTGTAACAGGAGATGATGATGGTCATTTAAAGGTAAGTGAAATCTGTGCTAAACCAGTTTAATCAAGAGTGATTAACCCTTGCCACCAGTGTAGAGCTTTGTGATCTTGCTCAACTGTGATATATGACCAGGCTCTATACTGTTGATATCTCAGTTTATTTTGATATTGAAGTCTATTTTATAAATTTAGCAAGTTAAGACATCATTTCTTCCAACAAAAATAAAATCTGTAGAATTAGTTTACTATGGTGTTTGATTAATATATATACATGTACTATTGATAAAGGCGTGTTTTGTAGTGGTTTGTGGTCAGTTCCTATGCATCAAATTTGAAACGGGTGTTAAATGGTCAATTAACACTGCTTAGACCGATATTTCTTAATTCTTACCCTGTTTTTGCTGACAAAAAGCTGATCAACAATAATTATTTTACTGGTAATTTTTCAGTTAGCCCACCAAAAGTCCTACATGTATCTAAGAAAATGTTAAAATATTTTATAAAATTCATTTTCGTTGCTTTTAATTTTTTTTAAGATCTCATGATCACATTTTATTCTCATAACTTGAAAAATCTAAATGAATTTCTCAAATTTTCTACACAGTGATAATTTGAAAATGAATGAATGAAAAGTTTAAGTGTATTTCAGTAGTTATGGGACCTAAGACATCAGAAAGCTGTTATGGAAGTGAAGGAATCAGAGGAATTTATAAGTGACATAGCAGTAGATGATGCTAAAAAAACTCTCTTAGTGACAAGGTAGTTTTGTTATCACTGTACTTTTAATTTGCAGCTTTAAACTAGGCTCACAATTTTATACATGCTATAACGTCCATGATGTCCAGGACTGTTCTGAATGCAAAAAAAAAGAAAAAAAGTCACAATCAATCATAATGTTCTCTTAAAATATCCATGTCTCTTGAAACATAGTTACATGTACATGAAAACACTTATAAGTCCTGTTATGCGGTTCATGATAAACAAATATTTTTAATTTCATGTTAGGACATTGGTAGGCATTTTCCCCTGCATGCTAACACATTTCCCCCTATGTAAGGACAACATATTTCCCCAATGTTAGGACTTTTTATTTCCTGTAGAATATTTCTGTAAAGAGGGACATTATTCTCTATATAACAACACTTTCCCCATGAACCACCAAAAATAATCTTTTCCCATGATTGAGATCTCTGTTTGATAATTTACTTTAATTATTGTCATACTTATATATATATATATTTACTTTAGTGGAGAAGGGACTCTTACAGCATTCAATTTGAGAAGAAAAAAGTTGGAAACACAATCAGAATTGTTTGATTCAGAGTTTCTGTCATTAGCTATATTAAAGGTAATGCTACATTAAGAATAGATGTCCTAGTTAATTTTTCAACCTACAATCGGCAGCGTACTTGCGTTCACCTTTATTAAGCGACTTTTTTTATTGTACACAAATTTCTACTAAAAAACAAACACATATTGATGACTTTTTTAAAAAGGCATAAATGTAATTATGAAATTGTAATACATACATCATATTGTACCGTTTTTGTTATTATAAAAAGATGTTATTATATCTATGACTTGTAAAATAAAAGGTCTTGAATTTTCCAGAATTCTATTGAGAGACCACTTTATAAAGAGACCACTTTTTGGCAGTCCCTTGAGTGGTCTCTTAATGCAATGTTGACTGTATAATTGAATTGTTTAAGACAAAATGTTGATGTCATTGTTAAGGTCACTGAGGCTAAAAATAGATTTTTCATCATAGATGTATTGAAACTATGCTTAAAAATAACCTTTGAATGCAAGACTATTGGTTGTAGGATTTGATATGATTCAGTTAAATTAATATTAATATTTTAAACATTACCATCTATCTTTTAATCTAGACAAAAGCATTCATTATTTAAAGAAATTTCAAAATACCGACTGAACAGCTGAGAGTGCATACCATTATCAGAAGGCATATAAATGCCTGCTAATCTTGTCTGCTGTTGTCGCATGGGTAAATCTAGTTTAAGCGATTAGTATTCTAAATGGTAACTTGTATGATTGTAAGAGATTTTAAGAAGAAGGGATTGGAGTCTAAACTCGAATTAATATATGTGTTTTAATATATTTGTATATAAGACTATTTAAGCTTTATTTAAATGTTGGTTCTAGTTGATTGTCAAGGTCACAGAGGCTAAAAATAGGTTTTTCTACTTCTGGTTTCTGTAAAAAAATGTTCCCGAGAAATGCCTGAATAAAAAGTCATGAGCAGAAAAATATATAGAGATTTGTTTAAATAGATAATTATAGTTCATACCAACATAATTATAGTTATATCTACAGTTAAAGGTGCAAATTTTTTAGATAAATAATAAATAAATATGACTTATAATTTAGAATCCATTTATATAAAATGTTACTTCATATTTCAGAGAGGACAAAAGGTAGTCTGTGGTTGTGGAATGGGAGAGTTAAATATTTTCACATGGGGCGAGTGGGGTAATATAAGTGACAGGTTTCCTGGTCACCCCATGTCAGTAGATTGTATGGTACCTATCTCAGATGACATTGTGTGTACTGGTTCCTGTGATGGAATGATCAGGTAAATTTGATGGTTCACAACTTTATTTTTTATGGTGTTAGATGACTCACCTTTGTGCTGTTGATTTTGAACCGAATTCCATTCATTATTCTTTCTTTTGAAATGTATTCTATCAACTAAAACAGTTTATTCGAGAAAATCTGGCAAAAATGTTTAGCTATGCACTGTCAAAACTAAAAAGAGAAAAATAAGTATCTTTTCAATGGATGCACCATCACCATATTGCGTCTGTAGCAATCCATAGAGGTATATAAATAAATTAAGTCATTACCATTAACAGGCTTCTAAATCTGAGATAGATACTGCGAATTCACTTAAATTCGTGGGCATGAAATTAAGTGGTTTTATCAAAACGGGCCTTTTCGACGGTTCTTAAATTTGTGGATTTTCATTTTCTTGTAAAAAAATAAATAACCTAATAAAAAGTAATCTTACAATTAATCGCCGGGCATTTTTACTTACGCATGCACATGTCTTAACGTATCACACAGCGCTTGTCAATTATCTAATCCTTGCCTCTAGGCATAACATAAAGATAGCAGTTAATGCCGATAATTGACTGCAATTTACACATCTAGATGACATGATATGCAGCTCCATTGTACACACTGCCCCTGTGATTCGCCGAATAATTTATACGACCCCTGACAAGTTTTGACCAGGGAGTTTAAAAAGTTTACACCCTGAATCGGTCCTACTATATTTGACAGTAACTACAAGCAACATCACATGGACTGTGTAAATTTACATGCATATAAATTAATATGAGTAAATAATACAAGATTGTGCGGATATATTAAAAAGTCGGCAGCGTCTTTGGTGTTTACTGAATATCAGTCGCACAAATACAGATTTAAATTCATTTAAACTGGATCACTAAAAGACGACAAAAGGATGTACAATTCATCCGTTTTAGTGATTATTATTTTTTGTGTACTTAACTTCCGACGTTAATAGCAAGGATTTCACAATTAATAAGAGCAAACTGACAATTTATATTAGCTCTAATTGTTGCACTGGTTTCCCATTTTTACTCGATTATGTCAAGTATTCTGGATAACACAATCAAGTAGCCTACAACAACTAAGCAGTCTCAGTGATGTGTATATACGACCGAAATTCAGGACATATAATCGACTTTGCTTTCAAGTTTCTTAAATATTGCAAACCTAAACTATTTATAGATTTAATCTGTCACTTACCTGATCATCTGTATACCATCATAACAAAATAATCGACTGGAAAAGCGGCAACAAATGTATAGAATAGAGACATGGTTAGAAGTAATTGTTGGGATAAAATTTCATCGGATCTTAAATTCGTGGATTGACATACCTACGAAAATTCATGCCCCACAAATAATAATGATTTTACAGTATACCTTCAACTGACATAAAATAATGAATTCATATGTAGAGCATGACCAGACTTAAAGGTTAATTGAGATTTTAGTGTGTGTATGGGGGGAATAATTCTCAAGATTAACCAATTAATGGATTTTCATCAAATTTCTTTCAATTTTCCTTAAAACATTTCTTTTTCTGTGTGATGATCCATTATTTAAAATAATCTTTTAAAAATAAAAGGGGGTCAAATGTTAATATTACATATTCATTTCATTATTAATTAAAATTTCTACATTACAGGGCAGTAAATATTCTTCCAAATCGATTCTTAGGAGTAGTAGGAGAGCACCCGGGTGATTTCCCTATTGAGAACCTCTCTCTATCCAGAGACACGGAATGGCTAGCAAGTTGCTCACATGATCAGAAAATAAAATTCTGGAATATTGACAGTATTAAAGAAGAAACAGTGGATGTAAGAAGTAGAGCTAAAAAGGGAAACAAGACTAAATTCCTAAAATCTTCAGATAAAGGTGATTTCTTTGCTGACATGGCTGTTGATGAAAACAGTGCTTCAACAAGTGGCCAGGGTGAAGGTGATAATAGTGATGATGAAGATGATGATGATGATGACAGTGATGATGACGAAAGTGATGATGATGAATAAAAAAGAATATTTACAAAATATTTATGTCAATAAAGATTGATTAAACAAAATCTTCTTTTTGTATCTAATGATTTAGTCATTTGACCAAGTATGCTGGCATACTACATATGGCCTGAACTTAACCTGTAGAATAACCCATGATCTAGGGCTTAATACTGGGTAATAACACTGTTTTCTCGGCCTGACTTGTAAATGGCAAGTCTTCATATTTTTAAAATGCAGGAATCTTCACCACTTTATTTACAAGCAAATTTTGCCTGATTGACCTTTGGCTTTGAGGAAAACAGATTTATACTAATTTTTAGCTCGACTATTCGATAAGAATAAGACTTAGTAGAGCTATTGTATAGAGCATCTGCGAAACCACTTAAAAAGTTTTTGTAATACCTCAAATATTTTCAAAGTCAATTGACATATGGCTTTGAAACTTTGCACACTTGTTCACCATCATGACCCCAACCTGTAGACAGGAGGAGGTAACTGTATCAAGCATTTTGACAGAATTATGCCCCTTTTTATGCCCCAACAAAGAAGGATTATAAAGCGTTGCACTTTTCCGTCCGTCTGTCTGTCTCGAAATCTTGTGAACGCAACTCCTCTAAACCGGATGGCAGATTTTGCTTAAACTTCCAGGGATGAACAACCTTTATAATTATGCAGATGGAAGTAAAGGAAGGAATTTTTGCTGCGACCAAATTTAACAGAATTATGGCCCTTTGTTGATTTTTTCACTATATATTATGTAGAAATTTTGTGAACGCAACTCCTCTTAAACCAGATAACAGATTTTGCTTAAACTTCCAGGGATGAACAACCTTAATGTGTAGATGGTAGTAAAGGAAAGAATTTTTGCTGCAACAAAATTTAAAAGAATTATGGCCCATTCTTAAATTTTTTCACTATGTACCATATTGAAATTTTGTGAACGCAACTCCTCTTAAACCGGATGTCAGATTTTGCTTAAACTTCCCGGGATGAACAACCTTAACGTGTAGATGGAAGTAAAGGAAGGAGTTTTTGCTGCGACCAAAATTAACAGAATTATGGCCCTTAGTTGATTTTTTCACTATATACCATATATATGTTGTCAGTGGGGGCATCCATGTTCTTTGAACACAGTTCTAGTTTACACTAAACTAAAAGTTACTTAAAACTAAACAAGTTGACAATAGGTACTGTAATATAAACTATTAATATTTAAACCAAAAATGTGATTACCAGAATTAACTAGCAGAGTAATAGATTTAAACCAAAAATGAAAATATGAAAAATAACCTTAATGATTCTGTGCTATTAAATTAATAAATCTGAATAGTAGCAAGCCCTGTTTTAATCTATGTCAACAAAAATGAAGATCTAATAATTTAAGAATGGTTGCCGTTTAAAACATTGATAAGATATAAATTAATCTTAATTAATTCTGTAAAAAATAATTACTAAAATAACTTACAAATTTATCAAAAATGTTTCAGTGATTTTAGATAATCTCTAAGGTTTATTTAGATACCAAAGTGCCTAAAATAAATTAATTAATTAATTAATTAACCTAATAGAGAGATTTTAGAGATTTTACTTGTCCTAAAATTAGCAGCAAATAACAAAATTGTGTAAAGTTCCTGTATTTATGCACACTACTGGGAATCAGAACTTTGTGTGGAACCAGTAAAATGCAGAACTGCTCTGATTGGTCTAGGAATTTTAGCCAATCAGAGCTCATAAGGGCTTTATATATTTATCCTAAAAATAGATTATGATTCAGGAAAATTTTGCAACAGTATCATTTTGACCATGATTATAAAAATAATAAAGTTTTGCAAAATATTATTTGTAACAAAAAAACTAGTTACTAATATCAACTAAACATATTTACAAACATATAATTATGAATCATGCAAATGCTTAATTAACAATATGTATCTCACTAAGTTTAAAGTTCAGTGTAAGTGAAGTAGAAACATTCTTTGTTGTAGATAAAGAGTCTTAGGCCATGCTAAGTTAATTACTGATCATTAAGTTCTTCAAAGTTACTCAGTACAATTATAATCAACATTAAACTAGTGCATGATAAGAATGAAATGTCAACAAAACAAAGCATGTTTGATATAATTAAACTTTAAAATAAACTTAAATCTAAGTTAAAGTTTAAACCCTTAATATTTATTAAATATATCGTGAAGATTATATATGATTAACTTCTTGAGTATTAATATTATACAATATTATGTAATGATTACATAACCTGATATATATATGAACAAAACTAATGTGACAAGACAGACGGATTAAATTAATAAAAAGGAAACATTATGTTTTGTTCAAAGATTTCTTTGTTTGCTTTTAGAAAAAGTAAGTAAAAAGTCAAGCGTTGCCCCCACCCGGCGATGGCTCTTGTTCTTTACATTATCTTTCTTTTTGTCCAACAAATCATTAAAGGTCATTTAAAGTGGCAGCGTGGCCAACTGGTTAATACGTCAGACTAGTAATCTAAAGATTGCCAACTAGTTGGGTTCAAACCCTGTGAGGGGCAAGCCGTTGTTTCCTTGAACAAGAAACTATATTTATTGCCATATACTGGTTGGTTCCAGCAACAGATGCCAGAGTGTTTGAATAAGGTTATAGCTTCCAAGGCAATCAAACTAAAAAAAAATTCTATACACTAAACTAACAAATCATAATCCTATAAACTTGTCCGCCCAATAACTTGAAAATCCTGCGGCCCACAGTCTTCATATTTGGCATTGAGGTTAGGCATGATTAGTAGATGACCCCTGTTGATTTTGGGGTCACTGGGTCAAAGGTCAAGGTCACAGAGACCTTGACTTAAAAAAGCTTGTCCGCCCAATAACTTGAGATTCCTTTGGCCCACAGTCTTCATATTTGGCATGGAGGTTAGTCATGATAAGTAGATGACCCCTATTGATTTTGAGGTCAAAGGTCAAGGTCACAGGAGCCTTGACTAAAAAAACCTTGTCCAGGGCAGTAACTTGAGATTCCCTTTACCCACAGTCTTCATATTTGGCATGGAGGTTAGTCATGATTATAAGATGACCCCTATATATTTTAGGGTCACTGGGTCAAAGGTCAAGGTCACAGGGGCCTTGACTAAAAAAACTTGTCCGCCCAATAACTTGAGATTCCTTAGGCCCAGTCTTCATATTTGGCATGGAGGTAAGTCATGATTAGTAGATGACCCCTATTGATTTTGAGTTCACTGGATCAAAGGTCAAGGTCACAGGGACCTTGACTTAAAAAAACCTTGTCCGCCCAATAACTTGAGATTCCTTTGACCCACAGTCTTCATATTTGGCATGGAGGTTAGTCATGATTAGTAGAAGACTCCTATTGATTTTGAGGTCACTGGGTCAAAGGTCAAGGTCACAGGGGCCTTGACTGAAAAAAACTATATTTTAAAATTTTCACATTTGAAGCATAGAGAATACATATCTTAGCAATGCACTGGCTTTATAAACAATCTGTGGAATAGACAATCGACGATTGTATTTCATTTCATATCTCTAGTAAGTGCTGTATATATGTATAACATTAATACAGTCCGGAAAACGAACTTCAAGGCATTAAAATATAAAAACCTTTTTTTTTCCCCGCCGCCGACCCTACCTTTTTTTTTTGGAAAAAAATCAGTAAACCAAAATATAAAATTATAAAAATGGCCTTAGTAACCTCAGATTTGGCAGGGTGGTTGTCCTTGAGTTCTAAATGGCCACTGTTGATTCTGACAAAGTGGTATGCGGGGGTATTCACGCCATGACAGTGGCAGTTCTAGTTTTAATTCGAGGGCATTAATTTTCGTGGTTTCCCGGCAAAAAGGCAATTTTGTGGAGTCGTAAATTTTTGGATTTCAATTTCAAGGTAAAAAAATTATGGGGCCGAAACTTCGTTAATTTCAAAATTCGATAAAACATGATACAAACAATATCCCTAATTTGTGCTATGAAATTGTTGACACGTGCAAGTTAATGTGTTTCCACCTGACCAAACAACAGAAGATTCATAACAAAAACTCATTAGTTGGTTAAGTATCCGATCTATGTTTATCTTTGATTCAATGTACAAGAAAATCGTAGGTAAGCACACAGTTTGTCTACAGACGATGTACCAACTTCGCACCACTGATAGCATTTTTGGTGCTGTTTATGTTACTTAACATTATCTTGGGCACAATTTGTTCGTCGTGACTTGATTTCCTGGGTTACCTGAACCACAAAATCCACGAAAAATTAATCCCCCACGATTATTAATGATTTCACAGTAATTATAAATTTTTGTCCTGATATCCCCATAATTGATAATGAACAGTTCCAAAACTAAAAGCTGGAAAAGTCCATTATACATATTTGGCAGGTTACGGGTTTAATCATTGGTTAAGTTTTGTCTGCTCACTTAGCTCCAAATGGAAAGCATCTGATTAGTAATTAAAGGTCTCCGGTACCATCCTCAGGGGAGGAGTTATTTCTCCATGACAACTGGTCACTCAAATTGAGTCTAATGGTCATATATCTCCCACCACTGATTCAGAAATCACATAGGATTAGTAGTTACTCACTTGCATAGAAATTGATCATTACTGGTTAGTTATCCAGAAAAGCTGGTAAGGTGTATTCACTATTATGTTGATCTTCAGTGGTATATGACTACAATGACTCCTTAACAAACACATTGTCTTTTCTGGTTTCTTGTGACTGGACCAGGGCCTTTTGAAAATTGGCAATAAAAAAACCCAATTTTTATGAAAAGCACTGAATTATGGGGACTTTGAGAATCACAGTAATGAAACATTGCCTTAGTAAATAAGCTTAAATCTGATGACATATATTTATTCTTAATTTCTTATTTTAAAGTCACTTCATAGAAAAGTATTGCTATATTGGATTTAAGTGCCTATGTAAGCATATATAGTATGTGTTTAGATATAGTCAAAATAACTAAACATTTTGCTCAAGTTTATGATAGTTTATAGGTGTGAAGAAAGTTGTCATATTGCCCATCATTTTCCCCACCACTGTAATACAGCTTCTTTGTTTCCTCACACCAGCATATAGCATATGGATTTTTCAGATTCTTCAACACCACCTTTCCTCTAGAACAATCTCCTGATATCTCTTCTATAACATTTCTCTTATTATCACAGACAAAAACAGTACCATCATCTGACAGTGACATTCCCGCAGGATTACTTATACCACTATAACTACCTATCACTTCACCCTGCCAGTTTAATCTTGTCACTGCCTTCATGCCACTGTCAGATACATAGATAGAACTTCTGTTACTTGTGATATACAGTGGATCTTTGAAAATATTTTTTCCATCAATTGTTGTCAGTATTGTGCCATTCATATCAAGGATCTGAAGTTTTGCAGGATCAACAAATGACACAACAAGTTTACCTTGGTAACAGCTTATACCATAACAGTCTCTACTAACCTTCACAGTGTGCTCCTTTATGAGTTTGTTTGATGAGATTGATATAAACTGTATTGTCTGTCTGTCATAAATTGTGACAGCAAGGTCAGTACTGGTTACTGTGGTGATATTCCATGGTTCACTTTCTAGTTGTAGTTGATCATACACAGATTGACTGCTGGTATCCACCATCTTTAAAGCATTGTTATTGTAATCAGTGATGATAAGAAGATCAGGAGTCAGCAGAGTCATTCCTGTTATACAGCATCTGGTTCTATCTTTTGATGTCTTCACACAGATTTCACCCTCATGTAAAGATTGTCTAGACTGTATTTGTATGGGTAGAGCTTCTTTATTTAAAGTTCTCTGTGTCAATGTACCAAAAGACTTCTCTGCTTTAAGGTTGGTTAATATTGCCACATTTGCTTTAAAGTTGTGCTCTTTGATATCGTATGAAGAAAGTTTTATTTCTTTTTCCTCCATATCTTTCATTGTTTTCTCAGCAAGTTTGAGTTCCATGAAGAGTTTGTCAGATTGTTTAGATGTGTTGAGTTGTTTGATTTTATCTGTGGATATCTTCAGAGATTTGGTTATATCTTCACATGTTGTTTCTACTGCTTTCAGATGTTTGTTGTTTTCTTGTTCTATGACTTTAGCTGCATCTTCAGCCTGTCTCTCAAGTTCATCTAGTCTTTGGTTGATTTCTTGTCGAAACTTTTTGATTTCTGCCAATGATTCTTTGAGAGAGCTGTTTGATTTGTGTGTCATGTTCTTGACATCTTTTAATATCTGTTGAAATTTGTCAGAAGTGGTATTTACTGCATTCAAGATAACTAGATATTCTTTGCTGTCTATTATATCACCAGAAATGTCTGGTATATAGTTGACATTGCAGGAAGTAGCTTGATGTGCAAGGGTAACACAAACACTGCATAGAAATTCCACATGATCATGACAGTAGAACTTGATCATTTCTTGTGGATGTTTAAGACAGGGTGTGGTCAGGAAATTAGACTGACCTGTATGGATGGATTTTGAGCGTTGTTGCAAAACTTGAGGCATATTCATAGCATCCTGAAGTTTATGATGTTTTGAAAGCCTATTTTTTTTATGTGCTATAAAGCATGTCTTGCAAAGGTGTTCCTTGCAGTCAGTGCAGTAACCGTGGGCAGGGAGTCTAGTTCCTTCCTCGTCACAAGGCTGGCAGTAAATTTGAAGATCTTCATCTGATGCCATGTATGTTGTCGATGATGAAAATTGTTTTGATGCTTTCTTTCCTGGGACTGCCATGTTTTAACTAAAATGTATTATAATAATAGACTAACTCCTGAATTAAGAATATTTAGGGTTTTCCCAGCTATTCCCTAGGAACAAACAAATTGTTACAGTTACAGATTTGAAAATAAGGTCAATAGGTTGACTAATCTATTGTGTTGGGTAGTGTACCATGAAACTATAACGGTAAAAGTTTGTTTGTACTAACGGATTAGATGGGAAAAGTCCACATTTACCAAGTTCTTGATAATATCTATAGATTACTATGTATTGCATGTTTTAAACATCATTACTTGTAGATGACCCCTATTGATTTTGGAATTACTAGGTCAAAGGTAAAGGTCACAGGGGCCTTAAATGTCAGAATGGTTTCCTTTCATTATTTTGAAAGCTACTTATCACAAAGTCTTTATTTTTAACATAATGATTAGTCATAACTAGTAGATGACCCCTAATGATTTTGTGGCCAATAGGTCAAAAGTCAATGCCCCATGGGCCTTGCATGTCTGAATGATTTCCAATCAGAGTCTTGAAAGCTATTTTTCACAAAGTCTTTGTATTTCACATACTGATTGGTCATAAGTAGTAGATGACCCTTATTGAGTTTGGGATAACTAGGTCAAAGGTCAAGGTCAGAGGTGCCTTAAGTGTCAGGATAGTTTCCACTCATTTTCTTGAAAATTATTTATTTATCACAAAGTCTTTATATTTCACATATTGGTTGACCATTTGTAAAGATGACCCATTAACATTTTGGGGTCACTATTTTAAAGGTCAAGGTCACTGGAGCCTTAATTGTCAGAATGGTTTCCCCTCATTATCTTGACCTTATCTATTACTATCTTTATACAAGTCTTTATGTTCCACATATTGATTGGTCATATTTAGTAGATGTCCCCTTATGGTTTTGGGATCACTAGTTAAAAGGTCAAGGTCACAAGAACGGTTACCACTGATTACCTTAAAAACTTTTTATCACAAAGTGTTCATATTTCACATATTGATTAGTCATAATGTGGTCACTAGATCAAAGGTCAAGGTTTTTTTTATTTCACATACTGATTGGTTATAACTAGTAGGTCATTATTTTTCTTTATTCCTTAACTGAACAATTCCAGGTACCCATTTATAGCATGTTTCTATAACAAAATTACCAATAGTATGAGTCAAGGGCTAGAAAGTGGGGCATATGTGTGGTTCGACATTTCTTGTTATGAAAAGCTTTTATGCATGCCGCCTCCACATGGAGGGGTGATATAGATTTGCCTTTATCTGTCCATCTATCAAGCTGTTCTGCTAATATGTTGTCCTTCCAAAGACAAAAAAGTGGAAGGTGGGGGGGCATCAATGTATTATGTTTATCTTCATTTATTACTGTTTTTGTAAAAAAAAAAATTTTAGAATTTAAAATAATGGTTTAATTGGTACATTACATGTTAGCTTTCAAAAGTATATTTTGCAGTCATGTAGAATATTATATTGTTTATTATCTAATGCTATGTCATAGTGTATGTATAAATTAACATAGTTGAATTAAGTAATTTATATGGATAGAGCCCCCTTTCCTACCCACCAAGAAGACAATTGTTACAATTTTATTTGACATAATGCCTTAATTGTTTTTGTTTCTTCATATGAAAACAGAAATATAGAATTTGCTAAAATTTTTAATAAAAAATGCCAAAGTTGGAAGATTACTTAATATGGTAAATACCTGTTTTTGCTAATATTTTATGCACCTCTTCAAAGTAGAGCAATATTATTTTGCAGCATGATATTAGTTGGACTGTCAATTAGTTGGTCCATTCTACATTCATTTTCTGAGCAATTACTTGAGAACCATGGGCCCATTACCCTTAAACTTGAAAGGTGCATTAGCTTTTGAAAATAACAATTTAGGGGTCGAGGGCTCAAAGTTTAATATCAGATTGACATTTTATGCCAAATCTATTTCAAATAACTCGGCAGTCAACATTTAATTTTTGACCAACAACTTGACTTGACATGACAAACCTGATAGGAGCGTTGGTGTTTGGCAGTAGAATATTCCATTTAATTTTGATGTCAATGACTCAGAAGTCAAGGTCACATTGACCTTGCATGCCAAAATGGTTTCTGACCAGTTACTCAACAAATCATGGGCCCTTCATCTTCAGACTTCATAGGCACATTGGTCTTGGTCAGTGCATGACCTTTATAGCTTTTGATTGCAGGGTCAAAGGTAAAGGTAACATTGACCTTGAAGGTCAGAATTGTTTTTGACCAATATCTAGATAATCAATGAGCCCTTTGCGCTCGAACAGGGCATTTGTCTTATGCAGCAGATGACCTCTTGATTTTCGGGTTGCATGGTCAAAGTTTAAGGTCACATTAACCCTGGCTGTAAAAACAGTTTCTGACCAATAACTCGAAAATCAATGGGCCCTTGGCTTCTGACTAATAACTTAACAACCCTTATGCTCTTGGCCCGTAAGCTTCACATGTGCATCAGTTTAAACTCTTAAGTTATCTTATCAAGTTTGCTCATATTAATTTGATTGGCCCCTTTCAGGGGTTTTTAGGGCTAAAAATAGAAAAACCTTTCAACATCTTCTTCTATAGAAATAATGGATGGATGGTCTCCAAACTTTGTCTGTAGCATTCTTATGTAGTCTTTATATGAATTTGATTGGCCCCTTTTAGGGGCCGCTATATAGCTAAAAATAGAAAAACCTTTAAACGTCTATTTCTACAGAACTAATTGATGGATGATCACCAAACTTTGTCTGTAGCATTCTTAGGTAGTCTTTTATCAAGTTTGCTAATATTATTTTGATTGGCCCCTTTTAGGGGTCTCTAGGGCTATCACCAAATTTTGTCTGTAGCATTCTTGGGTAGTGTTTTATCAAGTTTGCTCATATTAATTTGATTTGCCCCTTTTAGGGCCGCTATAGCTAAAAATAAAAAAAATCTTTAGATATCTTCTTCTACAGACATAATTGATGGATGATCACCAAACTTTGTCTGTAGCATTTTTTTGGTAGTCTTTTATATCAAGTTTACTCATATTATTTTGATTGGCCCCTTTTAGGGGTCTCTAGGGCTAAAAATAGAAAAAACCTTTAAATGTCTTCTCCCACAGAGCTAATTGGTGGATGATCACCAAACTTTGTCGGTAGCATTCTCTGGTAGTGTTTTATCAAGTTTGCTCATATTAATTTGATTTGCCCCTTTTATGGGCAACATAAAGCTAAAAATAGAAATACCGTTAAATGTCTATTTCTAGAGAACTAATTGATGGATGATCACCAAACTTTGTCTGTAGCATTTTTGGGTAGTGTTTTATCAAGTTTGCTCATATGAATTTGATTGGCCCTTTAAGGGGCCACTTAAGCTAAAAATAGAAATACCTTTAAATGTCTATTTCTTAAGAGAACTAATGGATGGATGATCACCAAACATTGTATGTAGCATTGTTCAGTAGTCTTTTATCAAGTTTGCTCATATTATTTTGATTGGCCCCTTTTAAGGGCAGCTAAAATTAAAAAAAAGATATACATTTAAACGTCTATTGCTACAGAACTAACAGATGGATGATCACTAATTTTTGTCTGTAGCATTTTTGGGTAATCTTTTATCAAGTTTGCTCACATTAATTTGATTGGCCCCTTTTAGGGGCCGCTAAAGCTAAAAACAGAAAAACCTTTAAACATCTTCTCCTACAGAACTAATTGATGGATGATCACCAAACCTTGTCTGTAGCATTTTTGGGTAATCTTTTGTCAAGTTTGCGGGCGTTAATTTGATTGGCCCCTAAAAGCTAAAAATAGAAAAACCTTTAAACATCTTCTTCTTCAGAACCAATTGATGGATGATCACCAAACTTTTTCTGTAGCATTCTTGGGTACTCTTTTATCAAGTTTGCTTATATTAATTTGATTAGCCCCTTTTAGGGGCCACTAAAGCTTAAAATAGAAGAAACCTTCGAACATCATTTCCTACTGAAATAATTGATAGATGATCACCAAACTTTGTAGCATTCTTAGGTAGTCTTTTATCAATATTGCTCATATTAATTTGATTAGCCGCATTTAAGCTATTTCAAGCTTAAATGCCCAAGGCCATGGTATTTCTTCAAACTATTGTTTATTTCTATCCTCAAATTAAATATATTGACATTCCAACACTGAAAAGCAGTTGTTTCTGGTGAGCGACTCAGGGCCATCATGGCCTTCTTGTTTGCATTTCATATCAGTAAAAAGGACAATTTTTTTTTTAAAAAGTACTAAAGATGAAAACTACTTTTTTATCCTGAATGTAGACTTCTTGTCAAAATGGTTTTCGACTAATAACTTGACAACCAATGGGCTTGGCACTCAAACTTCATAGATTTTAGCATTGGTCTTGGGCATTTCATTAATATTAATTTTTTGGGCCAAAATCTAAAAGGTTTGAAAGCTAAAACGTAAAGGTGAGATTGACCTTTTATGCCAAAATAGAATCCAACCAATAAATCTACAACCCATAGGCCCCAACCTTAACTATGCTGTGCCAAATTTTCAGAATTGCTTTTAATCCTAAAATTATATTATAACCTAAAAAAATGGAAATTCACTTCAAACTTGAAATTCTTGTGAGTCTGCTAATCCCATTTACAGAATTATACCCCTTCTTTTCTATGTTGATTTTATTGAATTATATTAGAGTGCAAGAGAAAAGTGAAGTGCTCTGTACACTGACGGGTCTGATTACAAATATAAATTAATTAAAAGGCATGAAAAAATAACCCAGTTCAGAAGTTTTTAAATGCCATGACTTTGTGTATCAAAATATACATGTATGTATATTTAATTGAACTTCATTTTTTAAAAAACTTTATAAAATAATAATACTCACTAGTTGTGAGAGAGTTTTTTTTTGTAGACATTGAAATATTTAATTAAATTATTGTACCTTGAATTGTAACGCTCAGATTGTCTCACACTTTCCAAATGTAAATGTTGTATACGTGGACTTTGCTCTTTTTAACTGTCCTTGTTTTATAACACTGATAACATTGTAAAGTTACAAGTTTAAACCAGTCATTTATTTCATAGATAAAGTGTGTAGTGTGCGAGAAACTATACTGAACCAAAAAAGAAACGTTCGCAAAGTATGTGCCAGTTGTTCAAGGGCTAACTTAGATGTACACACTAATACATACATTTAGTAGCTTGTAAAACTCTTTTTGTTTGCAAAATCGGTCAGCTAATCCCGGTATAAAAGCCCGATATGTTTATTCAACGTAAAAATCGGGTTTCAAAAGGATTGAAAAACTGTACTAACATATCTAATTTCAAACTTGGAAAAAGTTTCTTTTTTGTTTCAGTATATTAAATTTTAGCATTCTGTTTTTCAATCAGTATTTTAACTCATTAAGAATATAAAAATGTTCTGTGGTTAGGTCGTTGACTTCAAACCACTTGCCCCTCACCGCTGTGGGTTCGAATCGGGGACTTTGGATTCTTTCATGTGAGGAAGCTATCCAGCTAGCTTACAGAACGTTGGTGGTTCTACTCAGGTGCCTGTTCGTGCCTGAAATAATGCACGGAAGGGCACCTGAGGTCTTCCTCCACCAGTAAAGCTGGAACGTCGCGATATGACCTATACTGTGTCGATGTGACGTAACCCCCCCCCCCCCCAAAAAAAAAAAAAAAATAAATAAATAAAAATGTCCTGATTTTTATGCTCCTGAAAGGTGAGCATATTGTTGTTGCTCTGTCCATTTGTCTGTCCGTCCGTCCTCTTTTCTTGTCCGGGACATAACTTTGTAACAACAAGAGGTATCAACATGAAACTTTGTAGGTAGATAGATCTCATTGGGTAGAAGTGCAGAGTAAAAGAACCATAACTCTGCCTTGCCTAATTTTGGAGTTATGGCCCTTTGTTTATTTTGACACTTTGAACTTTGTCTGGGACTATAAGAAATATCAGCCTGAAACTTTGTAAGTAGATAGATCTCATTGGGTAGATGTGCAATGCACAATTACTGTAACTCTGCCTTGCCTAGTCCTTTGTTCATTTTTATGCCCCAGTGCATATAGTAATTGAACCGTTCGTCCCTCTGTCTGTCCATACGAGGTTAACCTAGAACGGCAAGTTGGATTTTTCTTAAGTTCTACCTGTACCAATAGCTTCTTAGTTTACACACTTACTAATCAATACAAAGTACATGATCTGGTCAAGTTACATAACTATGGCTTCCATATTTACCAAGTTATTGCCCTTTTCAGCACTTAGAATTTAGAAAATGAATAATGGTTAACCTAAAACGGCAAGTTGGAAATATCTATACATGTATATACTAATGGCTTCATAATTTCCACACTTACTTATCAATACAAAGTACATGATATTGCCAAAGTATATAACTGTGTCAATTTCCCAGTTATTTCCCTTTTTTCACTTTGAAAATAGGGCCTTGTCTGGTTAACCTTTTCCGACAAGTTGGATTTATCGTAAATTTCTCTTAATTGCTTAATTTATTTAATGATATCTTGCATATTTGGTTGGTAGAAACTTTTAATGGTCCTCTAATTTTTTGTTGAGTAAGTGGTCTCAAGGGTCAAGGTCACTGGTTTAGAAAATTAATTCAAATATTTTTGCTCATACAGCCTTTATTATTTGGTTGATGTCTTTCATGTTTATTACAAACATGCCAAGGGAGGTCCTCCTTTGGGTATAGTAAGGGGTCATTTGGGTCAAGGTCAATGTCACCAATGTCAAGGTCAGCAATGTTAAAAATAGATTTTTACATTTTTACATGTGTATTAACCATATTCTATTGACAGATGCCATTTATAATTGATAGGAACATAAAACTTGATGGAGTTAGTGGTCAGTTGGGTAAAGGTCACCAGTGCTAAAAATAGATTTTTACACTTTTGCTCATACAGCCTTTATTTATTGACAGATATATTTCATATATGGTAGGAAGATAACTTGCATGGTATTCATCCTTTTGATTGAGTTAGGGATCAGTGTGTCAAGGTCACTAGTGCTAAAAATATATTTTTACACTTTTGCACATACAGCCTTTATTAATTGACAAATATATTTCATATTTGGTAGGAAGATAACTTGCATGTTATTCTTACTATGGAGTTAGGGGTCAGTTGGGTCAAGGTCACAAGTGCTAAAAATAGATTTTTACACTTTTGCCCATACAGCCTTTATTTATTGACAGATTTATTTCATATTTGGTGGGAAGATAACTTGCATGGTATTATTCCTTTGGAAGGAGTTAGGGGTCAATTTGATCAAGGTCATCAAATTGTATTTTAACATTTTTGCCCATACAGCCTTTATTTATTGACAGGTGTATTTCATATTTTGTAGGAAGATAACTTGCATGATACTCTATAGGTGTCAGTGGGTCAAGGTCAATGGTGCCAAGTATAGATTTCTTACATTTATATATATTTGATAAAGTTGAATATTTATCACTTCACAAGTCATAGCAATGACTTGGCAACTTATATATTTCACAATTACAAAATGCCATGACTCTTTCAAGCTATATAACTTGTGTTTACAATTTTTTGGCAATGTTTCTGTCCATAACTGAGTGAATGGGTAATCATTTTTTGAAATATTGCTACTGACAAGAATCTGAGCTGGGGGCATTTGTGTTTAACAAACACGTTCTTGTTATACTTTGAGCTTTGTCTGGGACATAACTTTAAATCTATAAGAGATATCAGCATGAAACTTTGTGGGTAGATAAATGTCATTGACTAAATGTGCAGTGCAAAAACACAATAACTCTGCCTTGCCTAATTTTGGAGTAATTGCCCTTTGTTCATTTTTAGCTCGACTTTTTTTTTTTTGAAAAAAAAATTAGAGGTATTGTTATAGTCTGGTCGGCGTAACGTCCACATACTTGTACCTGGATCATAACTTTTTTATTTCTTGGTGTATTGTCTTCATACTTGGCCACAACAACCCTTGGGACAAGACCTTTCAGTAGACCACACTAACCTTGACCTTCATCCATAAATGACCTTGACCTTCAAGGTTAAAAGTCAAATTTTTGCTTGTTCATGCTGTTATTGGCTGTAACTTTGTTATTTTTGAATGGATTGTCTTCAAACTTGAACATAATAATCTTCAAGGATATCCCTTAAAAAAAACAGCCAGACCTTGACCTTCACTCATAAATGACCTTGACTTTGAAGGTCAAATTATTGAAATTTTCATTTTTTTTTTGCTATTATTGGCTGTAACTTTGTTATATTTGAATGGATTGTCTTCAAACTTGAACATAATTATCTTCAGGGATATCCCTTAAAAATAACTAGACAGACCTTGACCTTCACTCATAAATGACCTTGACTTTGAAGGTCAAATTATTGAAATATTCATTTTTTTGGCTATTATTGGCTGTAACTTTGTTATTTTTGAATGGATTGTCTTGAAACTTGAACACAATAATCTTCAGAGATAACTGTTAAAAATATACCGAAAGCCCTTGACCTTCACTCATTAATGACATTGTCTTTGAAGGTCAAATTATTGAAATTTTCATTGTTTTGGCGGTAACTGACTGTTAAGGACCAGACCTTGTTGTTTATCAAACCCAAATTTGCTTGGGCTCTTTGCGTGTTATTATTTTTAGAATTGCAGGTTTCCTTTTTTAGAATTGCGTGTTTCTATTTTTAGAATTACATGTTACTATTTATAGAATTAGGTGTTTCTATATTTAGAAATTGCGTGTTCCTATTTTTAGAATTGTGCGTTACTATTTTTAGAATTGCGTGTCACTATTTTTAGAATTGCGTGTTACTATTTTTTGAATTGCATGTTTCTATTTTTAGAATTGCTTATTTCTATTTTTAGAATTGCATGTTACTATTTATAGAATTAGGTGTTTCTATTTTTAGAAATTGCGTGTTTCTATTTTTAAAATTGTGTGTTACTATTTATAGAATTGTGTGTCACTATTTGTACCGCCTCCGTGGTCGAGGGGTTAGAGTCGATGACTTCTAATTCAGGTACCTCTCTGGCGTGGGTTCGATCCCCGAGAGATGCTTTGGTAGTTTAGCGCGGAGGAAGGTAGTCTAGTACTTGTGTAACTCTCCAGGAACGATGGTTAGGAAACTACCCGCCTATATGACTCAAATACTGTTGGAAAAAGGCGTAAAATTAAACAAACAAACAAACAAACATTGTGTGTCACTATTTATAGAATTGCGTGTTTCTAATGATAGAATTGCTTGATTCTATTTATAGAATTGCGTGTTTCTATTTATAAAAATTGCTGTTTCTATTTTTAGAATTGCAAGTTTCTATTCTTAGAATTGCCTGTTTCTATTTTTAGAAATTGCGTGTTACTATTTATAGAAAGAAATTGCGTGTTTCTATTTTTAGAATTGCGTGTTTCTATTTTTAGAATTGTGTGTTACTATTTTTAGAATTGCCTGTTACTATTTTTAGAATTGCCTGTTTCTATTTTTAGAATTGCCTGTACTATTTTTAGAATTGCGTGTTTCTATTTTTAGAATTGCGTGTTTCTTTTTTTAGAATTGCATGTTTCTATTTATAGAAATTGCGTGTTTCTAATTTTAGAATTGCGTGTTACTATTTTTAGAATTGCGTGTTCCTATTTTTAGAAATTGCGTGTTACTATTTATAGAAATTTTGTGTTTCTATTTTTAGAATTGAGTGTTTCTATTTTTAGAATTGCATGTTACTATTTATAGAATTGCCTGTTACTATTTTTAGAAATGCGTGTTACTATTAAATTTTATAGAATTCCGTGTTTCTATTTTTAGAATTGCGTGTTTCTATTTTAAGAATTGCGTGTTACTATGTAATGAAATTGCATGCTACTATTTATAGAAATTGCGTGTTACTTTTTTATGCCACCGCAGCATCTGCGATGCGGTGGCATATAGCGATTCACCTGTGTGTGTGTGTGTGTGTGTGTGTGTTTGTTCGTGTGTGTGTGTGTGTGTTATATAGATTATATAGTGAACTTAAAAAATCTTCTTGTGAAAAACCACTTGTCCAATTTCAACCAAACTTGGCAGGATTGTTCCTTGG